TCAGAGGATGCTGGCACCTCCTCTGCATCCCGTAGCACGTTCTGATGTAAAAAAAAGGCTGACCCCCTAGTGCGGGGGTCCTCAAACTTTTTAAACAGGGGGCCAGTTCACTGTCCCTCAGACCGTTGGAGGGCCAGACTATAGTTTTAAAAAAAACTATGAACAAATTCCTATGCACACTGCACATATCTTACTTTGAAGTAAAAAAACAAAACGGGAGCAAATACAATATTTGTATTTGCATGTGGCCCGCGGGCTGTAGTTTGAGGACCCCTGCCCTAGTGGTTTGGGAGTCTGGCCTGAATGTTCACTGTGCTCCCACAAATCTCTCCTTTTCAGTAACAGTTCCTTTCTCAGAACATTTCAAATGGAATAAATACTCATCAGTCAGTGTGGAGCAGCAATCAGCAATCAGCAATCAGCTCCCTATTCATGTGAGTGGTGACCCAGAGGCCCCGGGCCTGTGGAAGCACTGGGGGAGGCTGGCTTCGCTATTACGTGCTGTTAACAGCCTTTCAAAGTTCTTTCTCCTGGGATGCTGTTTCTCCTTCCTTCCAAAGTGAGAGAGGCCAGCAAAGTTAAAAGCAGGCATGAAAGAGCCTCGGCCATAGGAGGCTGGCCGTAGGAGGCTGGCCAAGGTGCTTATCTCAGCCAGAGTTAATGAGAAGGAAATTCAGGCCCTCCTCTGACTGTAAACACCTCATTCTTGCTCACCCTCCCCTGCATCTTCGCAGTCTTCACCCTCAAGGTCCACCTGCTGCCTCCTCACTTGCCCTAAAAGGTAACAGAACTATTGCAGGCTGATGGCGCCCCCTGGAGGCCGGCATGGGGAACTGTGTGCTGTCTTGACAACCACTTCGGCCTTCCTCCAACATTCCAGGGTCTGTTCTCTGCCTTGTTCTGCTCGCTCGCGCTCTCTCTCTCTCTCTCTCTCTCATTCCGTGTATAAATGAGATGGTAGTTGTTTTTCTCTGTCCGACTTAATTCACTTATCATAATGCCCTCAAGGTCCATCATGTTGTCATGAATTAGCCAGGTTTCCTTTTTATGGCTAATATTCCAGTGTGCGTGTGTAACATTTTCTTTATTTGGTCATCCATTGATGGACACTTAGATTCTTCCATGTATTGGCTATTGTAAGTAATGTTGCAATAAACATGGGGGTGCATATTTTTTGAGTTAGTGTTTTCATTTTCTTTGAATAATTACCCAGAAGTGTAATTGCTAGATCCTATTGTAATTCTATCTTTGATTTTTTGAGGATCCTCCACATTTTTTTTCATGGTAGCTACATAAATTTACACTTCCCCAAATAGTGCACAAGGGTTCCCTTTGCTCATATCCTTGCCAACACTTATTTCTGATCCTTTTGATAATAGCCATCTAATAGGTGTGAGGTAATATTGCCTTCTGGTTTTGATTTGCATTTCCCTGATGATTGATACTGAACACTTTTTAATATACCTATTGGCCATCTGTATGTCTTATTTAGAAAACGTTTATTCAAAGTCTCTGCCCATTTTAAAAATGGATTGTTTTTCCATTGAGTTGTAGGAGTTGTTTTTTTGGATATTAACATCTTATCAGACATACGATTTATGAGTATTTTCTCCCATTCAGTAGATTGACTTTTTATTTTGTTGGTTTCCTTTGCTGTGCAGAAACTTTTAAATTTGATGTAGTTCCAGTTGTTTTTGCTTTAGTTGCCTTTGTTATTGGTTTCAAATCCAAAAAAATTATCACTAAGACTGATGTCAGTTAGCTTACTGCTTTTGTTTTTCTCCTAGGAGTTTAATGCTTTCAGGTCTTATATTCAAGTCTTTAATCCATTTTGAGTTAATTTTTGTGTATGGTGTCAGATAGTGGTTTGGTGTCATTCTGTTGCATGTGGCTGTCCAGTTTTCTCAAAACCATTTATTGAAGAGACTTCCTCCATTGTATATTCTCGGCTTATAATTGTATATTCTTAAATATACAGTCCCTATTATATATTCATTGGATATTCTTTATAATCGATTGACCCTATATTCATGGGTTTATTTCTGGGCTCTCTATTCTGATCCATTGATCTATGTGTCCTTTTAAAATATCAAAACCATACTGTTTTGATTACTATTGTTTTGTAATAGAGTTTGAAACTAGGAAGAGTGATGCCTCCAGCTTTGTGTTTTTCCTTACGATTGCTTTTTCTATTTGCAATCTTTTTTCATTCTATACAAATTTTAGAATCATTTGTTTGTAAAAAAAAATGCAATTGGAATTGTAAAAGGGGTTGTATTGAATCTGTAGATTGCTTTGGGTTAATGACTACCTTTTACTGAGCACTTTCACATACTCCTCAGGACACTGTCTTTTTATTATACTCAAATGATAAGAAAACCGAGTCTTAGGTTAATAACTTGCCCAAAGCAAATGAGAGAAACATTTGCACCCAGGTCTTTCTAATCACAAAGTCTGTGCTCTTACCCATGCATATTTGTCTTGCATATAAGCTTTTACCTTATCAAAACAACACATTGCTTGACATTTTATAAGCATCTCTCTCCACTCCCATCCCCCCAATTTTTCCATAGTCTAATTTATCCACCTCCAGTTTCTTCCCCGTGGCTTAAATTTTGTTCTCTGATAAAGTGCGAATGTCCCCTATAAATTTCCCAGTTTGCCAGGAGAGCTCAGACTTAAGCTGCAGTCATACCTGGAGCTGATTCTTATGGGGGAACCAATGGAGAGAAGACACAGTGCTGGCTGGCCCTGATGGGGCAGGGATATGACTTCCTGAGAAAGTCCCAAGGTGCCTTATGGGGCCATGTTAGCCACAGCAGTTAGAGAAAACTATAGATTTTATCCTTTCTGAATTCACTTTTTTATCCCTTGGTGTTTGTTAGTATTTTCTGATTCTTGACATAAATCCAAACATGACAGAACAGAATGGACCTGAAAGTTTCTCCTGTACATCTCCAGCCCTCCTCCTAGAGCCTTGTCATTTTATCTTTCCTTTTCTGAGAAGGGGCTCTTCATTTAATTTGTCACAAATAACTTTTACTGCTGTTGAATTTGCCTGGTAGGTCTTAGCAGTTGAGGAGTCTGTGGAATGTGTGGGGCTCTCCTGTTCAGAATGATTGCCAGGAAGATCCTTTTGCATGCAGGACCCAGAAGAGTGCTGGGTGTATGGCAGGTGCACAACTGTTGCTTACTAAAAGCCGTGGTAGTAAAAGACATAGGCTCTGGAATGACAGACCTGGGTTCAAATCCCAGCTCTGACAGTCACTAGCTCTGTGGCTTTAGAAAATTACTTAACCTCTCTGAGCCAGTTTCCTCATCTGCAAAATGAGGACCATAATGAAACCTCATAGTTTCTGAGGATTGACTGAGATAATATATGTAAGGGACTTAGCACAGTGCCTGACAAAATAAACCCAAGAATTATAGCTGAAGTTTCCTCTGCTCTTGTATTTTCATTGGCCTTTTTTTTTTTTTTTGGTTGGATTCTAGTTTTTCCAGGAAGCACTTGGAATTCCAGATTGGCAGTCTATCTGTCCTCAATTTGTGGGTGAGGGAGGAGCTTAAATGTAAAATAACCTGACAGCTTCCTGCTTTAGACACTTTTCTGTTCTCCCACATAGCCTGTATGTATGTATCTCTCATTGCTCTGAGCATACAGCATTGTCATTTACTTGTCCATGTGTCTGTCAACTTTGCTGGGCAATGAAATCCTTGAAGGACTTTGTATCAGCACAATATCTAGCACATAGTAGGGGCTTTAACAAAAAGAGGTTTATCAAAGGCGCACAGGAGTGGTAGTGCATGACTAATGAAGCATGAGCACAGAGCCACCATACAGACACACCTCTAAAGTTGCAGGGCTTAAAGCAAGAATACAAATGGAGGCCACATGGCACGTTCCTGAGTATGTTAGAATATGCAGTCACACGGCCATCCTCTGTTCCCATCTGGGGCCTTGCAGCCTAGCCCCAGAGGATGGGACTTTCCCTGGACAGCCTGCTGCCTGTGAGCTGGAGTCGTTTCATGGACCTGGTGGGGGGCGAGGGGCGGGCAGCAGAAGCCTGGCCTTTCGCACAGGTGCCCAGGTTACCTGGACCCTCTGGAACCCGCCTGAACCCGGCATGAAGACTGACTTGCCAAGATCCCCAGGGAGCCAGGATCTCCCCAAACTCTCCCACTCGAACAGAGGTGAGCGAGAGGTGCAGCTGTCTGTGTGCCGGACATTCACTTGGGTGACCTGGGTCTGTGACTTTAGCCAAGGAGCAGGCCCTTCTGTCATCTCCCAGGCCAGAGACATTCCGCCCTCCCCCCCCCCCATTATAGGGCATATTCTTTTCTCCTAATTCCTGTTTATTTAATTGGCTTAAAAGACTAAAGGAGAAGAAGAATGTGTCATGGAGCGAGCTCTGGCCAATGCCATGTTATGAAAGTGACGTCACGTTTTTGAGCCCTTCACAGGCACCCCCCTCCCTGTTCTTCCCCGTTCGCGATAGCCTTGAAGAGGGTAAAGCTCAGACACGGAGAGGCAAGTCTTGCTGAGAGGATGCACATCTCCACCTCGCTGTATGCCTGGGGGTCCAGCCACCTCATGGCATCACTAACAGAAGACAAAGCTCCAGGCACCAAAGTAACGAGGGGCAGGGCTGTGAACCCCGCAGCCCTCCTGGAGCCCACGCGGGATTCCCAAGGCCAGTGTGCAGGAGGCGTTGTCACCTAACTGGCGGCGGAGAGCAGCCTTCTGGGGCCTTTCTATGATACCAGTTACATCCAAGAGGTTACTTAGATTTGATTACCTAACCAAGGAAGAAACTGTACATGTGTGCACATTCCAAGTATTACTTGAGGGGCAGTCTGCCATCTTAAACAGCTCAAACTCTAGAAAATGTTTATGATCTCAAATACTCAACAAATTTCAACAAAATTTGCTATAGTCGTACCTGATACTTTTAAATGGAGATTTTAATCTACAACTACTATTAAGGATGACAGACAACAAGTTATGCAATCAAAATTTTAATAACAAAGATACTATTTTTAACATGGTCAAGTATACTTGGCTAAGTCCAGATTTTAAAAAACAGAAGTATCTAGCCCAACAGTACGACCATACAGCTTTGTACAGAACATTCCATAGATCAACAGAAAATACATTTGAGCACAAAAATAAAAAATATTTAAAGAGAATCTCTAAGCAGCATTTTATTTCTGCAAAACAGACATATATCTTGTACTGATTAAATATCTACAAGTGCGTTTCCTTTACAAAAATACATATATTCTTAATAGACTAAGTCATTAACAATGACCTGGTAATCTTTCACTTCAATTTGAATGATTCATAAGCTAAATCTTACAACCACAAAAAGGTTTTTTATTTGTATTAAGATGTTACCACTTTTGACAAAAAAAAGCTTAAAATATTTTATATTTCAAAGGAAAATCAGCAACACAACTGTACACTGTACTCTACGATGGTTTTGTTTAACGTGAGGGCTACTCTACAACACTGGTGCTCGCTGGTGCTGCCCGACGTGAGGGCGCAGCAGGACCCGGGCTCCCTCACGGGCGCGTGTCGTGGACCACAGCTTCATAAGGACACTTAGGCCCCCACCCCATTCTAAGGAACACAGCAAAAGAAAACTGACCCCAGACAATAGAGGCTGATCGCATTACATTTTCAATGTGCCGAACCCCCGCTCCAGTGGACTGCCGTGCGTCGGTGGATAAATAATCTGTTTACTAACTCTACTGTTGCCCAGGAACATTTAATCTTCATTTGTACTAGATTGGTTTCTTATTCCACGAAGCTCTGGAAGAAAACTAGACCCAGCATTTAACAGACATCAGTTGCACTTGATTCTAGGTTTAAAGGTAAAGAACATTAAAAAGCATTGCTGAACAATGTCTCAGTGCTGGCTCCTAGGAAAGGGGCATAAGAGGTACACAGACACATTTTAATGAGCATTTAAAATTAAATTATTTTTAAGTTTAATTTCGTAACTTTCTGAAAAGGAAGTGCTCAAGCATTTTAAGTGTTTGAAAGCAAAGTAAAAGACTAAGAAGTAAACACACTATATGTGACTACATTACACTGGGAAGAGAATCACTTTTAAGTTATTGGGAAAATGCCATTGTAGGAAAAAAATGGTGAAAACCTTGTAATGCATATTTAAGTACATTTTAATGAACTTTCAGTCTCATGTTTTTCAATCAAAACACGGCTGAACTAGGTCTATCAAGTCAATCCAGCATTGGTTGGCTATTTTGTGTTTTCCAAGGGTTTCAGAGTCTCTAGTATATTTAATATTTTTCAACCTGTCATATGCCAGATGTGGCAGACATGCTATGCTCCTTACTGTGTGTGTGTGTCATTTATAATACCGTTTCACGTTTTTTGTGGTTCTAATCCAGGTATTTAAAGTTATGGCAAACACGTTCATTTTTGCAATTCTCCTACAACCAACATCTTGAGTATCAAGCTTAGCCTGTGGGAAATTCCTTATGATAAACCACAGTATGTAACAAAGGCTTATGTACAGCCTATCATAGAGACTTCAGGATGCGAGCTTTACCTTTGAGGCGGCCCACGGCCTGAGCTCCCAAGGAAAATGGTGTAAGAAGAGTGCTTAATTTGGTGTATGTATGATCTAGATCTGAGACCCATTTTGCTAATTTGGCTGTGTGGCTGAATTCTAATAACAATAGAGCAATCACTGAGAAACAGGACAGGGAGGTGAAACAGGCCTTTATGAAAATTTTGCTTTTGAATATGGAAAAAGCATTTAGGTATGTGAGTCCAATAGAAAATACTATTTTCTATACAAGTAAGCATGTCAACACTTTACCCAAGTCAGTCTTTAATAAAATTTATCATATTACTAAGAACTCAGGAACCAAATAAATGTAATTTTTTTGTTTCTGTTTCCTCCATGGAAGAAAAAGCTTCTCAAATTAGAAGTTAAAATCTCCATTTCAATTTTCCTTTCAAAGTATGTCTTTCTCCCACTTTTCATCCAGAGGAAAGCTATTTGTTGTGTTTATCTCTTTCTCACCTTTGAGGATTTCCTACGACCTGTCAAATGGTCCGGGAAAAACAAGCATATTTGAAAGAAAGTGTGCGCTGCTAATTATCAGAAAAAAACCCTGCATTTGATTAATCTCACCATGAAATTTCAATTTAAAGTCTTTCTTTGGTGATATTTTAGCAATTATTCAATATTATTGCCTCATAAAATTAAATTGCAATCTAAAAATTTCCAAACTCCAAACTGTTACAACTGTCTCTCCCACATGGTGTTCATTAGCAGTAAAATGTCTTTGGTGATAGGTATTTTCTTATGAAAATCTTTTAAAAAGTGATCACTCTAACTTACTATTTAGATATGAAATAATAAGAGACAAATACAGATAACTCAAACTGTATGCAGTAAATCTAAAACGCACAGTAGCAATGAGGCACTTTCTCTTAAATATTTCAATAAAGCTAAACAATTCATAGTATTATATAACATACCTTTTTTCCTCTTAAAGAATCATTTAAATTTAGATTACATTTGAGTATATAACATAGTTGAGCAAACTCATTACATTTATAAAATGTGGCAAATTAGTATGGGACAGGTTTTCAATGAATAAAGAAATAACACATCTTTCTAAAAGTAGTGAAAAGACATCACCCGAGGTAGCTGTACCCCAGATTGAATGAGCTAATGAGCTTTTAGTTTCTTTTTTTGGGGTATTTCCTGAAAGTATTTTGTCAATCTAGAGAAAAGGCCATATTCTGATTTTTCTATTAATGGATGTGATTACCTCAGAGTGATATGTGTAAACTATGGACCTTCAAATCCCAGGTTCCTTGACCTTTTTACTAATGTGATATCTAAAGCAGAGAAAACAGATGACAAAACCTTTTATGGAAGTAAAGTTCTTTCAGGTTATTGCTTAAGAAACAATAGACCAAAGAAAATGTTAGTTTTATTTATTTTCCCAGTTTTGCAGATTCAGATGATTATTCCTATAGGTTATTTATATAAAGAGTTTGTTTTACTACTACCCTAAGTTTATAAAACTAACCACAAAGGTTATCTGCATATTGTTTATTTCTGGTTTCTTGCAAATTTCACAACCTAACTTAGGGAATAATTATTTGGGATTTAGTGTATTACTAGATATGAAAGTAGTCCCATACTTAGAAAATCATAGTTGAATATATCAAAAGAGTTTGGCTGAAGAAGTCTGTGGTTCTGTAGTAATACAGCATTACTCAAGACCATCACAAAATGTGTACCCTGCCCCAACGACAACTGATGTCCTTCTTTATATAAATTTTCCACACGTTTTGGCACATATTCCATTGCATTTCAGTAAAAATACACAAAAACTATTCTAAATTTCATAACTGCTTCCTATATATTTCCTTGGAAAATAGTGAAATTACATATGATGAAGCAACAGGACAAATGTAAAGAGATTGTATCCATAAAACTCACTTAAGGTTGTAGGTTTTGGCTGGTGCCCCCAAAACAACCAGGTCTCATTTGTGGTTTTTAAAATGCACTCTCAATGCATTTTGCATTAAGTCAATTAAAATAAATTCCCAAATGTAAAACATTATTTTAATTACTGACCTAGATTTAACAAATTTATAATAAATTTTAAAACTTTTTAGGATGCCAGGAAGTTAGATTTTAGGGCATAATTTCTGTTGCTAAAGAATTAATTCAGTTTTTTGGTTGAGTATAATGGTAATGGTCTATTCCAACCATTTTTATAGATTTTTAACAAAAAATCTGCCTTTTAAATTCTGCTTGTGAGCTCTTCCAAGCACAAACACAATCTAACAAATGAAATTACTGCCATAACCTTTTTTCACAAGTCAGAACAAAAACAACAGAAAGCTTTAATATAGGCTATTTGACTTGAAACAAAGATACATGAAAAAAGAATTACGCTATTTCAGCCTTTTATATTGTGAAACGCATCAAGACTTAGTTGTATTTTGTATGTGTTTCTTAGAGTTCTACAATGTTTTATTTCTAAGAAGCATTTTGTTATTCAGAAGGCATTAATTTGTGATACAATTTACTGGAAAATGTAGCACATCTACCATGTATACAGTATAAAAACTGTGTGTGTAACACACAGATTGTGCTCATGTCAGGTTTCTAAAATAAATATTTTTCCTAACTTTCAAGGTTTTTTCCTAAGTTTCAGAGGTTAACTTGCTCTGAAGCAATTAATAAAACAATTTCCAACAAATTTTTTGGAAAACAAATATACATTTTAAAACATTTAAATGAAGTTCTTCATATAATTTAAGGTAACAAGACTTTCTTTGAGTTGCAGACTAATCTCAAAATGAATGGAAGACTTAACAAAACTGCAAAATCAAGGCCATTCCCATAGCTCTGACCATAATAAACTTATGTATGAACAGTAATCCCACCCCCCTGATTGCTACAGGATCTAAAGTGAAATATCCTCAGACCACTAATTGTGGTTAGCATATTTATCTACTACACTGCATTTATTCTATTTTATGCAAATGGTTTGGAAATGTGATAGGTAACAGTTTTAATCTACAACTGTTTTTGAGACTTTTGAAATCCATAAAATAGCTAATGTTATCTGCTCTAAAGATCCTAATATTTAAAATCATCATAACCCTCTGCATGCCACAGCAACACACACCTAAGGCCAACTTAAGAGAAACAATGTACTCATTAAATGAGAGCAACAATACAGTGATGCATCCATAAAATGGGCTACACAAAGACGGTTCACAGCAGTACCCGCTTGTCGTAAGGCATTATGAGAGAAGAGGAACCTTACTTACACAGTCATTTTGTTAGAAGTAAATGTGATCAGCTGCCAACATTTTGAATGGTTGTGAATCCAGCTTCAGTTCTCCCAGAATCGCACACATTTTCAACCTGGAGGGCTAACAGGCCCTCCTTATGCAGTTGGTAGACTACACTGACAGATGACTTAAAATGTCTACAATTACAATGTGCTCTAATGTTAAAGAATAATTGGAATTCTTCCCAAAAGATGAACTATGTTGCACAGAGAAAGCTTACTGAGAATAGGAAAGTGGTTCAAAAACCATTTTTCTAAACATATTTGCCATATAAAATCATTTCCAGATATAATAATTACCAGTTTCTTGTACAACACTCTATCTGAACAAGAATTAATAAAAGAGAAAGTAGGTGAAAACTGTAACATCACAAAGACTGAACCATATTACTAGTGTAATTGAATATTAGAACAGTCTTGGGACAACAAGCAAAATATTCCAAAAGCTGCAACAGGGATGACATCCAGCTGACCTCAGTGTGACCTGTACACTGTGAGACAGCACAAATAACTTACACAGGTGGTTCAGTAGCAGAATGGCACTTGGTTTGCTCTTAATAGAAACAACATAAATGCAACTGACAATTTAGAGACAGACAATGGCCTTATTTGCATGCTGAAAATCTGGTTGTGTCCCTTTAGTCCACACACCTCTTGCTGTGCAATCTGTCCATGAGTAAACAAATAGTGCAGGATTCATCTCAGTGGGGTCCAGGACCCTTGGTCTAACCGAAGTCAATTCTTGGTCGATACTGCAATACCATGGGATATGACTACAAATAAAAACATGATGAGGAAGACTTTTATATAAAAACAATATAGATCATATACAAAAAATTTTAAGAATAAGGAGTTATAATGTCCAATATTTGCTGATACTAGTGATTATAATAAGGTGACATTAAAACTATATATTTTTTAAAATTCTTTATTGATTAAAATATTACATATGTCTCCATTTCCCCCCATTGACTTCTTCTTGGCCACTCCCACCCCTCAGCACATGCCCTCACCCCGCTAGTGTCTGTGTCCATTGGTAATGCTCATATGCATGCATACAAGTCCTTGGCCACCCCCAACCTTTCCTCTGAGGTTTGACAGTCGGTTCAATGCTTCTCTGTCTCTAGATCTATTTTTGTTCATCAGTTTATGTTCTATATATTTTCAACTTATTGAGGTAACAATGGTTAATGGTATAATTTGCTATCTGTATACTCTATTGCTTGCTCACCACCCAAAATCTAGTTTCCTTCCGTTACCATATATTTGACTCTCTTTTTCCAATTTGCCCACCCCTACTTCACTTCCCCTTTGGTAACCACCATTCTGTTGTTTGTATCTATAAAAACTCTATATTTTTAAATTGCCATCATTTTTCTAGAATCAGTAAAGTTTTCCATAATATATGACAAAGGTCAAGTTTAAAGTCCTATAGTCCTTGCACTGGTTGCATGTGCCTTGTACTGATGTGACACTTAAGGGGAGGCAGGGCCTGTGGGCACTGAAAGCTGTGATGCCTCCTTAGAGGTGTGCACCTGTGGGGCTGAACAAGCCAAGTCTGCAGTCTGGGTTCCAACAGAGCTGGACTCGGTGAGAACCTACTGAGTCACAAATGAACAGACACCTCCTGCCATGAATCTATGAAAGTGGGAGAGTTTTCATAAATTACATATTTTTAGTCAGTTAGACACTCTTTTCAGCTTTTTTAAAAAAAACAAAAGTAGCTGATTTGTTACATGAAACATTTAGGTTACTGCCTCCTTTCAATAATCAGGTGGTCCTATTAAATACTTCGATTTGATTCTTATGTAATTGAATGGTTCATGTTACTCTATGTAGAAAAAGTGCCACACACCAGCACATGGTACTAGAGAGGAAACAGCTTCCGGCAGACAAATGGTATGTGGCACGGTGCTACTTTTGCATCTGCGTTTACCCTCTGTTTTACCACATGTATAGAACCCAAGTCAGAAAGGGTCTGGAGAACCAATGGCTTTCCTTTTCTTAAAGCTGCAGATTCTCCCTTTTAAAATGAAATTTCGAGGAGCTACTTTTATGAAACCCAGAAAGGGGTGAAATGGCCCTTGAATGTTTCCCCTTCATCTTAGTGTGGGTGAATGCAAAAAATCCAGTACAGAGAACTGTCTTCTTCGTGTGAATCAAAGGGATACACGGACAGTCTGTAATCCTGACAAAAGTCTCGATATTCATCATAGCTGTGCTACGTACTGAGAAAACCCTGTGTTGGATTCCCTTCTACCATTCAGCCAGGATGGGATTGAGAGTGGGAACGGGAATTCCTAGGTCTCGCTTCTCCCAGCTGAATAAGGTGGCACCACTACCAGTTTTCTAGGGGCTGGAGTAAAAGTCAGTCTCAGGGTTTCCACGGTCAAAATCATTTTTGGTCTGAATTTTGTTGTTTTTATTTTAAAATTTATTTTGTTCCCTCTGAATCAGTGTGTCTGGGAGTGAAGACAGAAATCTGTGTTTTATAAAACTCCCTGTGGGAGAAACTAAGATGGCGGCATAGGTAAACACCGGGAAATTGTCGCCTCACACAACAATTGAAAATTACCGCAAAGGACAGAGCAAACATCATCCAGAACAACAGAAAGGCTGGCTGAGTGTAAATTCTACAACTAGAAGGAAAGAAAAGCACGCTGAGAGCCGGAGGAGCTGCAGAGGTGAAGTGCAGAGGTACAAGTGCAGAGGTACGGCCGGCTCGCGCGCGCACGCGAGTAAAGGGGGTGGCACCTGAGGATGCGGCTGTCTTTTTGAATCACAAGCTCCCGACTGCTCTGAACTCCGGTTCCGGGAAGTCTCTGGGGACCCAGGACTCATACGGGGAGAAGCTGCTCTGTCCGACAGCGGGCGAACTTGAGGGCGGCTTTCCCTCAGAGGTGCTTGCAGCAATTAGCGGGTCACTGAGACCCATGACTCCGAGCCATAGCTCCTTGATCCGCCCTTTGATTCCCTGAGACCCCGCCCCACCCAGGCTGCGGCAGAGGCTTTTGCATGTGAATGTACCTAACTGCAGCCGAGCCAGGCAGACCCGGAACTTCCAAGAGAAGGCCCAAGGCCCCGCAGCGGCTTGCATTGCTTCACAGCTGAGCCTCTTCGTGGCTCCTGCTGTGTGGCCTCAGGCAGAGGCTGAATTAGCACCTCCTTAGATCCAGGAGCCACTGTACCCAGTGGTCAGAGGGGGACCATCCAAACTGCAACTCCTCAGATCCATAAGGGACACACTCAGGGAGCAGACTCAGTGAGCACCAAAGCCCCACTGAAGCAAGTCTTGCCCCAGAAGGGTGTCTTCAGCACAGAAGTTCTCCCACTTTAGACACAGCTGATTCTCACAGCCAATTGGCCTGGAGGTCAATTCCTCCCAGTGATCCTACAACAACCAAGGCACCAAGAGTGCACCAAGAGTGTCCACCCCAGGTAACTGGGGAGGCTGAGCTACTGGGCCCTACAGGACACCTGGCCCGCAGGGCCACTCTATCAACACAGGGAAGCTGCCAAAATGCGGAGACAAAGAAACAGGTCACAAATGGCAGAAATGGAGGAAAGCAAACGACTGGATATAGAGTTCAAGGCCACGTTTATAAGGTTTTTCAAGAATTTTATGGAAACCGCCAATAAATTTAATGAATCCCTCAATAAGTATAGTGAGACCATGGAGGACATGAAAAAGGACCAACTAGAAATTAAGCATACACTGACTGAAATAAAGAATAATTTACAGAGATCCAGCAGCAGACAAGAGGATCCCAAGAATCAAGTCAAAGATTTGAAATACAAAGAAACAAAAAATACCCAACCGAAAAAGAAAAAAGAAAAGAGATTCCAAAAATATGAAGATAGTGTAAGGAACCTCTGGGACAACTTCAAGCGTACCAACATCAGAATTATAGGGGTACCAGAAGGAGAGAGAGGGCAAGATATTGAAAACCTTTTTGAAGAAATAATGACAGAAAACTTCCCCTACCTGGTGAAAGAAATACACTTACAAGTCCAGGAAGCGCAGAGAACCCCAAACAAAAGGAATCCAAAGAGGACCACACCAAGACACATCATCATTAAAATGCCAAGAGCAAAAGATAAAGAGAGAATCTTAAAAGCAGCAAGAGAAAGACAGTCAGTTACCTACAAGGGAGTACCCATACGACTGTCAGCTGATTTCTCAACAGAAACCATGCAGGCCAGAAGAGAGTGGCAAGAAATATTCAAAGTGATGAATAGCAAGAACCTGCAACCAAGATTACTTTATCCAACAAAGCTATCATTCAGAATAGAAGGTCAGATAAAGAGCTTCACGGATAAGAAAAAGCTAAAGGAGTTCATCACCACCAAACCAGCATTATATGAAATGCTGGAAGGTATTCTTTAAGAAGAGGAAGAAGAAAAAGGAACTCTTACCATTTGCCACAGCATGGATGGAACTGGAGAGCGGATAAATACCACATGATCTCACTCATTTGTGGAATATAATGAACAACATAAGCTGATGAACAAGGACTGATCCAGAGACGGAGAGGCATTGATTGGACTGTCGGGACTTGGAGGGAAGGTAGGGGAGGGTGGGGGTAAGGGGGAAAGATCAACCGAAGGACTTGTATGCAAGCATATAGGCCTAACCAATGGACATGGACAACGGGGGGGGGGGGGGGGGGTGAGGTCATGAGCGGGGGGGGGGGGGGGATAGAGGGTAACGTGGGGACAAGGACACATATGTAATATCTTAATCAATAAAAAATATATTAAAAAAAAAACTCAACACAGTTGTTGAAGCTCAGCCAGATTTGGAGACTGCTACCTAGACATCCAACTCTGACTTTACTGCTTCCCATTCTACCAGCCCCCAGCCTCCCGCCTGCCCTTCATCCCAATACACCTCCCACCTCTGCTTCCACTCCTGATGCTGACTCTGCACATACTCTGCAGATAATTAAGTCATTTGTTCTAGATCCATTCATAATACACAGGAGAATCCAACACCGATTTTAGTAGCACGAAGGTAGAGAGGGAAGTAAAATGGCTTGGTTTTAAGTGGTTGGGACTTTCTCAGTTTTTGGCCAAAAATGGTTTTGCCTCTAAGTAACCATTTGTGTTTGTTTATCCATGAAAACATATGGAGCTTAATAAATTTAATGAAATGTGTTACAATACTGGAAATTAAGATGAACTTTAAGTTTTATTTGCGTTTCAGTTGCTTTCTCACTCTAATGAATTACGGCACATCACTCACTCCTCCCGATGTTAAGTGATTTTACTCAATCAACCCACATTTTGCAGGGTTGCTAGTCCCCAGTCTCATCAGGTACTAAAATAAAGAACAGATACTTCCAAAGTATATATTTTAAATGTGATAATGTTAGAAAACCCTAAAATTAACTTCGATGTACACTTTTTCTTAAAAAAAGTTTTTCTTTATAAAAATAACTTGGCTTTACTGTAGATTTGGAAAATATAGAAAAGCACCATGAACAAAAGAAATTTGATTTAAATGCTACCATCCAAAGATAACACCATAATCATATCAGTGTATATTCTTCTAATCTCTTTGTCTATGTACTTCTTTGTTTTTGAAAACTGAAATCATACTACCCATATTGTTCGGTAAATAATTTTGTCCATTAAAAAATTCCATACACTTGTTTCTACTCTACTTACTTAACATGATCATTTTTAAAGGCTGTGTATAATGCCTTTACAGAAATGAACCGGTAAGTTATCAACAAGTATCTTTTTGCTGTATGTTTTACTTTATTCCTTTTTTTTTTCTATTACAAATTAATGCTGACCCAGCGACCTATGGTCTAGTCCAGTGATGGCGAACCTTTTGAGCTTGGCGTGTCAGCATTTTGAAAAACCCTAACTTAACTCTGGTGCCGTGTCACATATAGAAATTTTTTGATATTTGCAACCACAGTAAAACAAAGACTTATATTTTTGATATTTATTTTATATATTTAAATGCCATTTAACAAAGAAAAATCAACCAAAAAAATGAGTTCGCGTGTCACCTTGACAGGCGTGTCATAGGTTCGCTATCACTGGTCTAGTCCCTGCTCTCTACCTCACCTCTTCCCTGCCACCCCCAGATTGGTCCTAGAAGTAGAACTGCTGGTTAAAACAGCACACACATTTTTAGAGCTTTTTGCTAAATGTTGTCACACAAGAGAGTGGACTCCAAGAAAGTTGTTCTGTTTTTACATTTCCAAAAGAAATATGGGAGCTCATTCTTCCATAGCCTCATCAGTAATGAGCACTACCCCTTCTTCCTTTTAATCTGGCAATTAAATAAACATAAAAATATTTCCTCAATTGTGGTATATTTGTCATGTATTTTACAATATTAATAGTCAACTCAGTTTGTATTTTTTTCCTTTCACATGTACAAGGAGAAAGGCCATCCCCACTCTGAGATTCATTATTCAACTATATTTTCTCCTTTAAATATTTACTATTTTAAGCCATGAGAAACTCAGATGTGAAGTATGGATTGAATCCTGCACAAACCCTACTAAATCACACCCCACCCCCAGTATCTATGTTCTGAGTTCACCGATTAGCCCTAAACAGCCAGATACGCCTCTCCTTCAGATCTCTGCTCTGTGTTCCCTCGGCCTGGAGTGCCCTACCCCAGATACATACATAGCTATTTCTCTCACTTCTTTTTGATCAAATATCACCAAGAAAGCTTTCCTTGGCAAGCTTATCTAATTCTATTTATTTAACTTGTATTCTAACATTATAAATTTTATTTACTTTTCATCTGTTACCATCATTAGAGTGTAAGCTCCATGAAATAATTTTGTTTTCATTTTTACTTCTGTATCCCCAGGACCTAAAAGAATGCCCAGTTAAGGGCTTAACAATATTTGTTAAATGAATCTTTTTTCCTCCATAATTTAAAATACTCTCTTTATAGGTTCATACATACTATAGTCTGTTCCTAAGCTATTCTTTTTATTTATATGTCTGTGTGTAAGTTAGTCCTCTGTTTTGGTTATTCCAGCTTTAAAATGCATGTCAGTATGTGGCATTGCACATGTCCCCAGGTTGCTCATTTAAAAATGTGACTGATCAGAAACACTGGTTTATATTTCCTGATGAACTTTAGAATGACTTATTTTTTCAAGTTAAACAAAAAATTGGTAAAAGTGTGCTTAAAACCTCTCTAAATATAATAATTTAATTATGGGGAGAATTGACATCTCTAATATTTAGTATATTATTCAAATTTTTTGTGAGTGTAGTGGTATTTTGATTCTATATAAGGTCTTTGATTTTAGATATTATATGCTGAAGTATTTAGTAGCCTATAGTCATGATACAATTTACTTTCAAATGGTTTCACAAAGAAATAATAGGTATATGTATAAAGACTGATAAGGAGAGAGAGAGAGGGCAGAAAATGTAGCAAAATGTTACTTGGTAAATCTATGTGTAAGTAAAGAATATTCCTTTGTATTATTATTTCAACTTTTGTTTTAAAACTTTTCAAAATCAGAAGCTGGTAGGAAAAAGTAGAACTTAACACTGAATTTTGTCAAATGCCTTCTCAGCATCTACTGATGATTTTTATTTCTTGCATTACTGATAAAAGTACTATTTAGTCTTGCTTTCATTCTTTTAGTATAATATAGTATATTATTTATCATTTTTATATTTGTATTCAAAATAGGACTTGAGTCCTGGCTGGGTAGCCAGCTCAGTTGGTTAGAGTGTCGTCCCCATACACCGAGGTGTATGGTCAGGGCACATATAAGAATCAACAATGAATACATAATAAGTGGAACAACAAATAGATGTCTCTCTCTCTCCTTCCCCCTTCCTCTCTCTCTCTAAAAAAAAATCAATATAAAAATAAGATTTGCTAGTTTTCTAATTGGGAGTCAGTTTTTGCTATCATGATTGTGTTACTTTTGTAAAATGAATTCGGAAGAATTTGATCTTTTTCAATGATTTAAAACAATTTTTAGAATGGGAATGATCTATTCCTTGAAAATTTAAGTTTATGACCATAAAACTAATTAGGTATCCTTTGAGGAAGTAATTCTTTAATAATATTTTTATGCCTTTCATGATTTAGTGATTTAAATTTTCTTTCTTCCTAGGTAAATTTTGGTCCACCTATATTTTCTACAAAATTGTCTATTTCAGGAACTTTATACACACACCCACACACACAAAATGTGTGTGGATTATTGAAAATTTGGTCTTACTCCTGCTGTTCTCTAATACTTGATATCAGTGGTTAGGAACATCTTTATTTCTAAGGAAACAGACATCAGTGCCAACAAAGTGTTCCCCTGATATTTCCAGTACCCACCTGGCACCATACATACTTATTACAATACTAGAGGCCCAGTGCATGATATTCATGCATGGATAGGGTCCCTAGGCCTGGCCGGCCATCAGGGCTAAACTATGGGGCAACTTGCGGGGTGATCGGAGTCCCCCACTTGTACCCGCCTTGGCTGGCCTGGGGCCTGCGGGCAGCATCTGGGCCCTGGTGGTCAGTGCGCGTCATAGCAACCGGTTGTTCTGCAATTTGGTAGATTTGCATATTAGGCTCTTATTATATAGGAGTATTGCCTATGTTCCCCATGACTATTTTGTGACTGCCATTTTGTACTTCTTAATGCCTTCACCTTTTTTGCTCAGTCCCCCAACCCCTCTCCCCTCTGGTAGCCATCAGTTTGTTCTCTGTATCTAAGTCTATTTCTGTTTGTTTACATGGTTCTTTAGATTCCACATATAAGTGAAATTGTATGATATTTGTCTTTCTCTGACTGACTTATTTCACTTAGCATAATACCCTCTAGGTCCATCCATGTTATTGCAAATATTAAGATTTTGTTCTATTTTTATGGCTAAGTAATATTCCAAATAATGGGGATTTTAAAGAAATGCTATAATTAATCCATAGATCATCTCTGTACAGTAATTCTTACTATACCACCCTTAATCCCTTCTGTTTTCCAAATTTATAAAATGTATTTTTATTGATAAACTTTCCTCAGATCCATGTACAAGTTTTCTCAGTGCATTATTAAATTAGTTCACTATCATTTCTATATTAAAAGAGGTAACCCAAGTAAAGCACTTAGGGAGGGCCGAGTGAGCCAGCTCACAATTACATTTAGCTGCTGCCATTATTTAGCTTCACCTCATCTGGCATTTTACCTTTCACTGTGGGTGAATGAGTAATTTTAAAAAAGTAACACACAAAGAAGTATTAAGTGTGGAGCAGAGATCCACTATAGAGCAGAGATTTCTCAAGGGCTAAAATTGGTAATTATTAAAAATCCCTAACTCATAAAAAATGGTCTTAACATCAATAATTTCATTTTTAGTTTAGTAAAATTAAATAGATATTTCAAGAGAACTAAAATAATGGAAAACTTTGGGGACATAATTTGAAAGGAAGTTTTGTAGTTTAAATAAGTATTAGTTTCACCAAGTTACATGTCTTAGGAACTCGAGTTTGGGATGAAAGCAGTCCCCATGGTGGCAATATCGTCAGGGTCATATGTATAGTCGTGAGTGCCTCTTACCTGATACAAAGGGCCATCCTGAGGGCAGACTTGCGAAGCTGAGCAGTTCAGACACCGAAACTGCGGAGGAGATGAACTCATCAGATAAGAGGCATCCACAACTGGATACATATTTAAAACTGATTATTCAAAAAATATAACTTAACGTCAAACATGAGTCAACATGATTCATTTTAAGTAAACACTTTACAAACTAGGGTAGCTGGGTTTTTTAAAATTGATCTTAATAATAGTGACTAGTAAAATTTAGCTTGAAGTAATTTTAGTATCTAAATAAGAGTTTGGCTAATATTCTGCAAATATTTTACCAAAATGTTTTACCCATCCTTTCCATCTCCTCTTCGAATACTAATGCCTGGGAAAACCCTCCATCCGTCCCGTCTTACGATTAGTCTCCTAGGTCCCCTCCTCAACTACCTCTTGAAAGCATCACTTTTAAGGATATCAGAGCTCTGACAGGGACATGAAATTTGCCTCAATCTGTAAGGGATCCATTTTCTGTTTCAAATTTGGTTCCTTATATTGTTAGCAGGTTAGATTCTTAGTCTCCATATATATTTTAATAACATCGGATGGTGAACTCCTTGTGTCTCTATCTTATTTATATTTGCAATATTAATAGCTAAGGCCCACAGCAGCCACTCAAAAAATGTTTTATGAGTAAACAAATGAACATATTTTAAAACTATTGAGTAAATTCTTTTGTAAACTCACTTTAGCAGTTTAATCATTCATATTTTAAAAGAATCATCTAATGATTTTTCAACATTATGCATACGTGAATTCAACACTGCATGCCTATTCAAAATGAAAAAAATAAATAAAAATGAAAGGTATAAATTAACCAGGAGAAATCTAACATCCCAGAGCGGCTTTTAAAAATATATACTTTGAAAGAACACTTAAGTAAGCTATAATTAAAACAAATATATTGACAGCCTTTAAATTAAAATTTTAGAAGTTTTCCATTTCCCCAAAGACTTTAGCAAGTTCCCCCCTAAAAGTTAGTCTTTGCATTTCTGTTAGGGCTCATCAACATGACCTAAGACAGTGATGGTGAACCTATGACACGCGTGTCAGAGGTGACACGCGAACTCATTTTTTGGGTTGATTTTTCTTTGTTAAATGGCATTTAAATATATAAAATAAATATCAAAAATATAAGTCTTTGTTTTACTATGGTTGCAAATATCAAAAAATTTCTATATGTGACACGGCACCAGAGTTAAGTTAGGGTTTTTCAAAATGCTGACACGCCGAGCTCAAAAGGTTTGCCATCACTGTATATGCCCAGCACTGCTGTCCTTGGCAACCTTCGCCTTTCTCAAGAGTCTTCAAGCTCACCCTGGCTGGATTGGCTCAGTGGATAGAGCATTGGCCTGAGGACTGAAGGGTCCCAGGTTAGAATCCAGTCAAGGGCACATACCTCAGTTGCAGGTTGATCCGACCCCTGGCCCTGGTCAGGGCTCATGTGGGAGGCAACCAATCAATGTGTTTCTCTCACACAGATGTTTCTCTCTGCCTCTCCCCTCCCTTCCACTCTCTCTAAAAAGTCAATGGAAAAATATCCTCGGGTGAGGATTAACAAAAAGAAAAAAAAAAAGTTTTTAAGCTCTATCTATCAGATTTGGACTAACTACACAAGTAGCACTTAATGAGAGTAAAGGAAGTGGTAAGAGGCAGTTTCCCTATTTCCCTCCATTAATCTCTCTGGTATTAGTCCAGATAAATGTTTGCTTTTCCTAAAACTGCTTGAGAATTCAAATGAAGCAAACCAAGGTAAATATGTGTAGTAACTTTAGGTATGGACTAGCAGAGGCTGCTGGAAGATAAAACTGACCAGGACCATCTGAGAAAGACAGGCTGTCCTGAGAGTGGGCACTCAACCCTCCCGAGAGGTGATCAGGAAGAACATGAGTTCATGATGAAAGTGAAGGCTTGAACAGAAAGAGATACTAACAGTGAGCTCTCAGATAAGACCAAGTGTAGGAGGAGAGAATTATAATAATAAAAGCTAACATAAGCTATTAATAAAATAACTAACGTAGTATGCTAGGCACACTGCTAAGTACTTTATACTATCGAATTCTCACTAAAATTTTTGAGATAGGTAGCATTACCCAAATTTTAAGGCTTAAAAAACGGAGGCAAAACTAGAAACCAGGACATAACTGGGAAGAAACAGCTTCAACATATATAACAAAAGGTTAGTATCCAGAATACAAAAAGAGGTCCTAGAGGTCAATAAGAGTCTTAGCCTTGTTGTAGGTATGTGTGTGTAATTAAACAAATCCCAGGTGGATTAAAAAGTTTAATATAAAAATGTACTAAAAAAAAAGTATAAAAAAATAAAACAATAAAAATGTACCAGAAGCAAGTGAAGGAACCACAAGGTAGACAATAGTTTAGAACAGTGATGGCGAACCTGTTGAGCTCAGCGTGTCAGCATTTTGAAAAACCCTAACTTAACTCTGGTGCCGTGTCACATACAGAAATTTTTTGATATTTGCAACCATAGTAAAACAAGGATTTATATTTTTGATATTTATTTTATATATTTAAATGCCATTTAAAGAAAAATCAACCAAAAAAATGAGTTCGCTTGTCACCTCTGTCACACGTGCCATAGGTTCGCTATCACTGGTTTAGAAAATAAGCTGATTCCCAGCCCAAGGCAGAGTGAGTTAGCAATGCCAGTTACCTGCGAGCTTTCAGACATCCTGGCATCTTGCTGGCAATGGAAGGTAGAGATGGAAAAGGCTAGTAGGGATTTAATCAAGAAATGATTGTTTAGCCCTAGCCGGTTTGGCTCAGTGGATAGAGCATCAGCCTGCAGACTGAAGGGTCCCAGGTTTGATTCCAGTCAAGGGCACATGTCCAGGTTGCGGGTTCAGTCACCAGTAGGGGGCGTGCAGGAGGCATCCTATCAATGATTCTCATCATTGATGTTTCTATCACTCTCTCCCTCTCCCTTCCTCTCTGAAATCAATAAAAATATATTTTTTTAAAAAAGAAGAAATGATTGTTTTATTGATAATTTGTCCACTCATTTCAAAGGTCAGAATTCATCAATTACTATTTTAACTCACAATTAATTGGAACAGGTAAAATATTTAAAATTTAACAAAAAACAATTGGGAAATTGAGATTCAAATAAATAGAATGATCTTTAGGGTATATTTTACATAACTATTAACCTTATACAAGAAAAATTTTTATTCAGTTTCCTCTTTAAACAAATATTTGTTGAGTATCTGTATTAGGCACTGCTCCCGGTGCTGAGACCCAGTAGTGAACAGAGACAAGCCCTGCCCTCGGATATATTTTAAGAAACCATAAACAAGAGAGACAGGATTTCAGATAGTGATGGAATACTATGGAGAATAGTAAGGCATAGAAAAGGATTTAGAGCGTCAGAGTCAGAGGCCTCACTGAGAAGGTAGAGAAGCAAAATTCTTTGAGCGAAGGGGTAAAGGGAACAAGTTAGGTGAACACTGGGGAGCCGGAGCAAGCCTGGTACATTAGAGGAAACGGGCCAGTGAAGCTGAGTGTGGGGGAGCCAGAGGGAGAGGGAGAGAAGGTAAGATCAGAGAAATGTCTAGGAAAATCATGTGGGGTCTGTATTTATAGGTTCCTGGAAGGATTTTGGCTTTTGTCTACATGCTACTGGATGTTACTGGAGAGCTCAAAACAGAGAAGTGACATGTTCTAACTTGTTTTAAGAGGATTGTTCCAACTGCTCTACTGGACAAAGATGGGGGTGGGGTTGGGGTGGGCTACGAGACTTAGGTAGAAGTTCTGGAGGATGGGGCCAGGGGCCTTAACCAGAGTTGTACAGTGGAGGTGGTAAGACATAATGGGATTGTGACTTTCTTGTATACTGCATAGGTCACAAAGTTTGCTAAGGATGAACAGAAGAGAAAGAAACTAACCAGGACTGACTTTAGGGATTTTGGTCAGAGAGACCAAAAGGGAACTACTGAGATTGTGAAGACTAAGGGAGAAACAGGCTGAAGGAGGGGGTCGAACAAAAGCAGGTTTATCACACTGAAAAATGCAACAGGCTAGTAATTACTTTACTGTTGCACTAATTATAAAATGTGGTAAGTTCTCTATTTATTGGTTTTGTTTTTATGTGAATGAAAAATCATGATACTGAACCACTATTTGAACCACCTTTTATTAAAGTATGCCTTAAATAACTAAGAACTTCGAACTATTCAGAAATGTGTAGTCAAAAACCTAATTGTAGCAAAGACCGATTGAACTTAGAGTCTATTAATAACAATTGTTATGAATTAGCTTTCATGCTTTGACCTTGAAATAACTGGCAGTGTGGGTGACCTTTGGGAAGGGATCTCATGAAGGACAGTGAGTGCTAGCAGAGATCTTGTGGTGGATGACTATTTACATCTCTTCAACCTTAAGGCAAACCTATTCACCATGATGGTTTCAAGCACCTATTGAAATGTCCAAAGAATTATCAAAGGAAGCTAAAATTATATTAATACAATATTAATATTATATGCAATATCACCATATGTAGGCCCAAAGAGCTGGGGAAGAGAGAATGAACTGTCTCTATAATCTGGGCTTGGAACAGGAAGTATTAAGTGAGAGTGATATATGCACAACCATTTAAAAACTAGGAAATGTCATATAAGGGCAAGTAGTAATTTACCAAATATAATCAGATTTTTATTTTCTTTAAAAATCCCAGAAAGGTTTCATGAGTTATTCAAGGCAACAACTAGTTGGTGACTAGTACTAGAATGTAATTTTCCTTCCTGGTCATGAGAATTTAGCCTCACAAGGAAGGCTTTACCCAAGTGAGACTCATATAGAAAAAAAAAATTGTGACTAAGAAGCTAGGTGCTTCATTTATTGTATCATGTCAAGACATATTTCTTCTTAAAAATAGCCAAATATCCTACACATTGAATGACACATAAAGAATATATTTTGAGGTTTGTTTCACAGAAGTTCCACAGGTATTGACATTCACTATAGGTTATGTTTTTGAACTATAATGGCAACCCTCATTATATTAGATTCTATATTGTCTACCTTGTATGAGGTTACATTTATTAATTATGTGATTGTTTTTATAGTTAATTTATATTTTCATGAGAAATATAATAGCCTGGCAGGTATGGCTCAGTGGTTGAATGTCGACCCATGAACCAGGAGGTCACAGTTGGATTCCTGGTCAGGGCTCAATCCCAGGTCTCGGGCTTGATCCCCAGTAGGGGGTGTGCAGGAGGCAGCCGATCATTGATTCTCATCATTGATGTTTCTATCTCTCTCCCCCTTCCTCTCTGAAATAAATAAAAACATATTAAAAATATAAAACCTAGCTTATAGAAAGGTTAAAATTACACAGAGTTTAAAAACATGACATTTTGTACCCTAAACACCATAAAATCTTAAGGTCTAAATGGAGGTCATTTAGTCTAACCTTCTAGTCAATCGTAATATTTATTCATGTGATCAGATTATAAAGAGAATTTCTGTTAGCATTACTACTATATTCTTTACTGTTATATATCAGCCTTATAATCCCTAGTCCCTAAAATGTCCCTAATACTGTTACATACAACTCAGATAAGATGTGCTTGAACCTTCTAATTAACCCTAATCAAAGATATAGTCCAAAATATAAAGTTCTCCTTTTAAGTTTTTTTGATTTTCTTAATTTTTCTCCTTTTAATCATTTCTTCTTATATTGCCTAGGGCCCAAGGCACAATAATCTAACCTGGCATCAGAAGCCATTGCAAACTCACTTACTCTTCAGTCTAATTTTATACTTCAATAAAGGTACTTGAAAAAAAATTATCTACATTCTACTCCAGCTGCCTTCTCTACCATGACCAAAAAATATCTTATCAGCCATTAAACGTATTAGGGCAGAACTTAGTCTTCTTACCCCCACTCCATACAGTTATGTAAAAAATGTGAGTGCCATCTTCTCTGTCTTGAGGTTAGTAGAGCTCTGAACATACTTCGATGGGGTTTTAAACTCACCTTGATACAATACAACTACATTTAACACAGACCTTGGTCTTGTACTTGGGACTAATTATCATCGAGTAGTTGAAAGAAACAGTAAGAGCAACCCATTTTTTTCTCTTCCCCAAGCTAGTTTGTTCTTTGAGTTTCTAAGTACTAGTAATAGTGTTAAATTTGAGTAACATAATGGTATATAACTAAATATAAACATAGATAAATATAAAAGCAATTTACGTTTTCGCCTCTTAGTCGCCATCTTGTCATATAGATGAATTCCATAGTGTGATCCTTCCCCATAATTTCACCATTGCACAGCACATCCAACTTTAAAAAGAATACAGACCCATTAACATATGTAATTTTGAATATATGTGTTTTACATGTGTTTTCAAATTTCAAAAAGGACTGAAATAGTTATTATAAAATAGAAGTATTATCCATTTATTTTTATTAAAAGCACTGATCCATCTCATAAGTATTTATTCAGACATAAGTACCATGAAGCACTGTTTGTCTTGTCCTACTAACCTGTATCTCAAGTTCATACACATACTTTTGAAATGCAATGTAGAGTTTCTTAGTCCATGTCTGTGCAACCTTTGAGATTTGAGACATATTTCTGTGACTGGCTCTTATGAAATAAGAAACTGTGGAAACCTTAGTTCCTCACAGCATTTCTGCCTTATAAACTCATCTTTCAGAATCCTTTTACCTTCACAACCCAAGATTTGAAGGAGTTACTTTCCTCTCATTAGTTTGTATTCAAAGAGGTTCAGTGGTTCTCAACCTGTGGGTCGCGACCCCTGAAAATACACCCTGCATATCAGATATTTACATTACGATTCATAACAGTAGCAACATTACAGTTATGGAGTAGCAACAAAAATAACTTTATGGTTGGGGGTCACCACACATGAGGAACTGTATTAAAGGGTCGCGGCATTAGGAAGGCTGAGAACCACTGGGTTAAATGAACGAATGTGGACGCGTGATTTATGGGCCTTTCAAGGCATCTCAGAATTCTGAGTAATTACCTGTAGCTAATTGACAGCACAGTTAGGACTATGCCACTGGCCCGTGTCTCCTATGGCTCGTGGCTTCTCTGCTCTGCTCGGTTGGTCACTTGCATTCATACCTACAGGACTCTCTCCTCACCTTGCATGAAACTTCAAAAAAGGGTTGTACTTTTCAATGCTCACCTTTGCTTTAGTGTTGCAAGAACCAAACAACCCCAAATACTTAAGAAGTCTGTAAGAACTGTGACTATGCTAACTCAGCAAAGCACAATTAAATGTTTATCATAAGTCTCTATAAATGAAACATTTTGTTTCTCTAGCTATTAAAAGCAAACTGACAGAATCTAATTTAAAGGATGGAAAGGGAGAAGAAAAATGGGTTTGAAATAATGGTTTGGCTAGACAGAGAATAGTTTTGAACTTTAAAATGAGTATAGTTCTAATTGTATTAGGCAAATTATTAGCTAAAATATATTGATTTTTTGATGATTTATGGTGACTTATATGGAGCTCCAAATGTTTTTCAGATATCATTTTATGTTTAAAAGAACAAGATAATACTTACATTTTATCTAGCCTGTAAAATAAATTCATAAGCAAAGAAGTAAAGGGACTTACTTAGGACGCTATTCTTAACTAGATATACTGCTTCTATTGTTAATTAACAACTAAGCTATCCTGCCCCAATTAATAATGCTGTTACAGAATCTTAAGCTGTCAGATACTTCATAAGTCATCCCCCTGCATGTTGGGCAGCAAAGTAAGGGGGGGGGGGGCAGTAAATATTTCTGAAAATCCTAGGAAAAGTCCTTTGCACTGAGATAGACAAGGAGCTGTCAGCACACTGTCTCTTCCCCTTCCGTCCTCTCCTACAGAGCAGTGTATGTGCCAGCAGCAAGGCCATAGGAGAATAACAGTTCTCTCAGCTCTAACAGCTTCCTGAAAACTAGAAAATAACTCAATGAGTCACACTTAAAAGTAAGGAAATAGAACTGCCGTGGTACCTTGCAAGAGGGAAATAAAGTGCAAAAACCAAAGCATAAAATACAATTTTACTTTTTATTTTCACTGTTGTTGTACCTATAAATTGTTATTACCTCTTAACTTTTACCAAGTACATAGGGCTTTAACTCTCACATTTTTTTCCCTAATGTAAACGTTGATGTCACTGGAAATTTTTTTAATATTTGTAGAACCAAACCATAATAATTTTTAATCCATAGATCAATCAGTCATTTGAGAGAATTTTCAAAAGTAATCACTCTCCCTTCCTTTCTATAAAATAAAATAAAAGTAAGTTCAGAATCTGAGGCTTCCTCAAGATAGAGATTTAATCCCTATCAATGCCTATGTTCAAATCCTATTTTATTTCTGCTGTGATGACTGTTCATGTTAATGTTACCGTCCATAAGTCTGAAAACCTGTTGCCTTTGATGCCTTTGTTCATATAGGAAACTAGGCTTGGTCTGTAGCTTTTTGATGCTACTATCAGAAACCAAAGGGGAGGAAGAGGTCATTAAAAGTTGAAGACTGCCATTTGGGCAGGTGAAAAACAGCAGCTTTGTTTCCTTATGTTGTTATAGCCACACTCCTAGGATCACAAACATTCTCTAAACATTGAACACTTTACCAGCTGTGCTGGGATCAATATGAGGGCAATTTATCTCTCCTGTAAAAAAACTGTTAAACTGCATATATGCAGATACAACACTAAAATACTAGCTTTCACCTGGTGCTAAACACTACTATTTCTACGCACCATGAAATTAGAGAAACATTATTTACAAAATCCCTTTGACAATGTTTCATATTCTAAGAAATAAGTCTATGAAGAATTGGTAAAAATCAAATGTCTGATTAAAAATAAAAAATACAGCCGAGACCGGTTTGGCTCAGTGGATAGAGCGTCGGCCTGCGGACTGAAGGGTCCCGGGTTCGATTCCAGTCAAGGGCATGTACCTGGGTTGCGGGCATATCCCCAGTGGGGGATGTGCAGGAGGCAGCTGATCGATGTTTCTCTCTCATGGATGTTTCTAACTCTCTGTCTCTCCCTTCCTCTCTGTAAAAAATCAATAAAATATATAAAAAAAATAAATAAAAATACAGAGACACACACTAACTAAAGCATGCTGCATAAAAACAATCCATTTAACTTGGATATTTATTTTGAGAATACTTAATGTTATTTAAATATTGCCTCTAATTATAAAACATTAAATGTATTACTATCATGTTTTAGTCAGGATGTTAAATTTTTAAAATGCAGATTACATAAATAGAATATTGCATTATAAGAATTTTTTAATGTGAAAATAAAGTTTCCACAAATTTTAATTTAAATGTATTCTGTTAATTTTCACTTCAGATCAGAATTATCAAAATGATCAAGGTTAGATAATTAACTTACCTCATATGAACTTGGAAGTTTTAGTTTTAAACTTAGAAATTTTTTAATAGTTCCCACGGTTACACGTGTAGAACATCGAATGAATTTCTTCATTAAACCCTATAGGAAATAAAGATTACTAATTAAAATATTCTACCTTGTTTATAAAGAAACCACAGATGTCATTTCCACTTTGAGTATTTTCAAAATGTATTCTGAAAATGTTTCAGTTCACAGCTCTTTAGTACTTGTGAGTAAAAATGTTCCCAGGACATCTTGCTTCCCTACATGTCATCAGTTTGGCTCAAATAACTCTTAAAATTTTTTTTTAAATGTTCCTAATTCTTAGATACATGATATTCTTCGAGAATGTGTGTACTAAGAAAATCCTGGCAAGTAGACAATCTGCATACCTCTAGACATTTTGGTAAAGAACAGATCATTAGTTTAATTGAAAGAAAGGTCATAAAAAGCATGTACATATTTTATTATACAATATTGCTTCTGAAAGCATTAGGGACATTTTAAAAAGTCTCAAAACAAATATTTTAAAAAGGAGCACTGACTTCAAATGGGGCTCTATGGAGCTCTAGGGGTGAATAGAGAGAGGCCAGTCAGTGTCTGATGGGCTGTGGCAATACTTTACTGAGAAAACAATGTTCTATATGCCTTGATTTTTCTCATTTTATCATTGAAATATAAGAACCAATCCAGAATGAACACCCAAACTGGAAATGGATTAAAATGATGATGTAGACATAACCATGAACGAATTTGTAAAACAAACTTACATCCCCAAACCTTAGAAAAATATCAATACTAAAACACACAAAACCCAGCAACTGGATCTTTTAAAGATATAAAGTATTACTTCTACTTATATGTATAGAAAATTAAGTAGACAATTTTAAAATGTTCTTTTTAAAAAACTGATTTCAGAGAGCAAAGGAGAGGGAGAAAGAATCACTGATCTGCTGCCTCCTGCTCCCCCCTTCCCCCCCACCCTTAGGGGATGGAGCCTGTAACCTGGGCATGTGCCCTGACCTGGAATTGAACCGGGACTTCCTGATTCATAGGTTGGTACTCAACCACTGGGCCATCCCAGCCGGGCTTGAAAATGTTCTTAAATCCACGAAGTCAAAAGTAGACTTATCCATGCCCTAACCAGTTTGGCTCAGTGGATAGAGCATCGGCCTGTGGACTGAAGGGTCCCAGGTTCGATTCCGTCAAGGGCATGTACCTTGGTTGTGGGCATATCCCCAGTAGGGGGTGTGCAGGAGGCAGCTGATCGATGTTTCTCTCTCATCGATGTTTCTAACTCTCTATCTCTCTCCCTTCCTCTCTGTAAAAAAAAAAAATAAAGTAAAATATATTTTTTAAAAAAGTAGACTTATCCAGTCAATACGTATTTCTTAGCAAATGTATTCCAAGGAAAACATTTCCTAGCAAAGACCAACAGAAACAACTCTATAGATGATAGTTTGACATCAATCTAACAAAATTCCAATCTGGAATTTAATATTTAATTTGCAGGCACTTAGAAAATAAAAATACAACAATTATGCATTCTCTCTCTATAGAAACACTTTATAATTATACTAGTGACCTGGTGCACAGATTCGTACACATTGAAAAGAAATTAATTAGAAGGTGGCTGATGGGGCAGGACTGGGCAAGACAGGCCAGACATGCCCTGGAGCCAACCTTCCGCAGTCCTTCCTTGGTGTCTGCGGAGTGAGCTGGGTCCCTCCAGCAGGTGGGGTTGAGGTCCCTCAGCCTGGCCTGTGGGGATGCAAGAGGGCACTCTGCAAAGCTGCTGTAGTACAGGGTGTGGAACGCAAACACAATGTGCAGTAAATCAGATTCGGGGCAGATAGTGCCTCAGCAACAACATAACCCACGGCCCAAGGTGGAATTGTGCGGCGGGCTCCCTCCTCTCTGGTTTTGGGGTGTGCCACCTGAGAACAGCTGCTGCCAAGTCACTGCAGCTTGGCAGCTCCTGTGTTGAGCATCTGCCCCCTGGTGGTGTGTGTCATAGCGACCAGTAGGACAGGTGGAGGGACACCTAGCATATTAGCCATATATATATATATATCTTATAGACAGCGTATAGTTGTACCATAAATTTTTATCCATTTTACCAATCTCTGCCTTTAGAGATTAATCTATTTCCATTTAATGTAATTACTAATGGGGTCAGATTTATATCTGCCATGTTTCTATTTCTACTTTAAATGCCTTAGGTCTTTTTGTTCCTCTGTTTCTCAATGACTGCTTTATTTTTTGTTAAAGATATGTTATTTTAGTTGTCTTATAACTTCTTTCCCTATATATTTTTACAATTACTTTCTTTGTGATTTCCCTCAGGATTACAATTTAGTTTGGAGTAATACTATTTTGAATTTCAATAGTGTACAAAAATTTGCTCATATATATCTCTGTTCTGCCCCCCATCTCAAGCAAAGTTTCAAATAAAAAATACATTCTGTCTTTTATATTTACCTGTGTGGTTACCTTTACCAGTGCTCTTTATTAATGTAGATTTGGGTTATGGTCTGGTGTCCTTTCATTTAGGTTTGAAGGATGCCCTTCATTATTTTTTTGCATAGAAGGTCTTGTGCGTGTTCTGTTAGTTTTTGTTTATCTGGGAATATCTTAATTTTCTCTCCCCTTTTGAAAGATATAGATTTTTGATGGATAATACTTGGTTGACAGGTTTTTTTCCTTTCATCTGCATATGTCATCCTACTGCCTTCTGGTGAGAAATCAACTGCTAATCTTACTGAAGATCACTTTATAAGTGACGAGTCCCTTCTTTATTATTGCTTTCAAGATTCTCTCTTGTCTTTCAGTAGTTTAAAATATATCTTGCTATGGATTTTTTTTGGTTTACCATAGCTGAAGTTTGTTGAGCTTCATAGATGTTTAATATTTTCATCAAATTTGGGAAGTTTTTGGCCCTTATTTCTTTAATTATACTTTCTGCCCCTCTTTCTTTTGGGACTTTCATTATGTGTATGGTGGTAAGCTTGATGGTGTCCTACAGGTCTCGGAGGATCTGTTCATTTTTCTTCATTACTTTTCCTTCTGTTACCCAAACTGAATCATCTCACTCTATCTTTGAGGTTCTTTTCCTATTACTCAAATCTGCTTTTGAGCCTCTCCAGTGCTTTTTTACTTCAGTTACTATACTTTTCAATTCCAGAATATTTTAAAAAATAATTTCTATCTCTTTATCAATATTTTCAATTTTGGTGAGATTGTTCTTGTACTTTAATTTAGGTGTTCAGAGATGGTTTCTTTTAGTTCTTTGTTCATATTTAAAATGAATGATTTAAAGTACCTAGTAAGTCCAATGTCTGGACTTCTGCAGGGAGGTTCTAATAACAGTTTCTTTTACTGTGTATGTGTTATACTTTCTTGTCTCAATTTTTTGTTGAAAACGGAGCATTTAAATAATATTATGTGACAACCTTGGAAAATCAGATTCCCGCTGACTCCTCAGGTTTATTATTGTGGCCTGTTTCTTCTTGACCTACGTAAACCAATTCTGTAAAGCCTGTATTCTTTACATCTAGTGACTGGCTGATTGAACCAAAATTTCCTTATACACTTGGAAAAAATAAGTTTCCCAGTCTTTGCTGAGGGATTCTGTCCTTGTTTTGGGCCACACTTCCAACACTAAGGAAGGTGGTTGAAAATTCTGCCTTAGTTTTCACTTCCTTGTGCAGAGCTTCACACCTATTTGTCTTTCTGAGCATGTATACAGGCTTGTGTATGTGCTTGGCCTTTTATTAGAATCCCAAGAATATGTCAGAGCTTTTCAAAGCCCCTTGTAAGTGGGGTATTTCAGGAACCACCAGAGAGAGCAAATAAAGACAATTATTTGGCTGTTAGGTTTTGAAGAGTTCCACCTCCGTTTTGTTCCTTTGGTACCTGAGAGGCTGCAGTGGGCGCAGGGCTGGAGAGTGGAGAATGGGACCAGTGCATGTGAAAATGGCCCAAAGTCGGACATTTTACTTGATTAATGCTCCATAACTTCTGCAAGCCTAATTATTAGAATTCTGGAAAAAGTTGATTTTATAAGTTTTGGCCAGTTTTTTCATTGCTTTTATGGAGGAGCAAATTTTTGGTGGTTTTTACTATTTTCACTGCCTTCCTGCTCTTGGCATTGGCTTTTAAATTGGCAAAGCAGTAGCCATACTGTGTAAACTATACATGTAACTACTCTAACACTACATTTGAGAATCACATCCTACTGCAAAGGAATGAGATGGTTGAGGAGGCTATATTGGAGCATAAACATTGTTTCTCTGTCTTTAAGGGTATAATCATGTTTCAAGGACAACACCAGGAAAAATAAAAAACAGCATCAATGCCTGCTGCCTAAAGGAACACAATAAATGCTGACTTAATAAGTTACAAACTAAGCTCTAATTGAGTGATATATGCAAGGCTTATATAGCATTTCAGAGAAGGGATTCACTAGGGTGAAAAAAAAAGCATCAAAAAGAATAGAGGTCTCTGCTTGGGTCTTGACGGAAGCATAGGAAAGTGGTGAGACAAGGGAGGAACATGCCAAAAAGGAAAGCTTGTTCAAAGTTTTAGAGGGTTTTAAATCTTAATACAAGCCTTTATATATTCTGGATGCTATCCTTTGTCAGGTATGAGTGCCAGCATATATGTTGGTACTCATGAAGAAAACAATAGTCACTTGTCTTGAGAGGAAGTTTCACTGATGGGTTTAAGGGGCGATAAATTTACCAAGATCGGGACTAGTTAAAGGCCATGAATGCTATTGGAAAGGAGTTAAGACTTGATTCTATTGGCCAAAAGACGGCAAACTATGACCACAGGTCTCAAGCCAAATCTGGCTGGCCACCTCTTAAGTAAAGTTTTACTGGAATACAACCATGCCAGTTCATTCACTATTGTCTATGGCTACTTCAGGGCTACAATGAGTAAGTTGAGTAGCTTCAACAGAGACCATATGGCCCACAGAGCCTAAAATATTTACTGTCTAACCCTGATATTGGCCTGGACTCTCATTTTCACCCTCTGCCTTACACACATTCAGGGTGTGGCCTCAACCTTGGATAAGAAAGAAATTAAGGATACAAAAAAAAAACACTGAAGAGACTGCTTCAAAAAAATTACATATAAAGTGAGCAGCTAGGATGGGGAATTTTTCAGGATTTATGACAGGCTAAAGCAGTGGTTTCTCAACCTTTTGGTCCTTTAAATACAGTTCCTCATGTTGTGACTCAACCATAAAATTATTTTCGTTGCTACTTCATAACTGTAATGTTGCTACTGTTATGAATCATAATGTAAATATCTGATATGCAGGATGGTCTTAGGCGACCCCTGTGAAAGGGTCATTCGACCGCCAAAGGGGTCGTGACCTACAGGCTGAGAACCGCTGGGCTAAAGGGAAAGAGTATAAGGTCCAAGATGACTCCAAGGTTGTGAACTTGTATGACTGGTTGAAAGATGGCAATAATAACTGAAATTGCAGGTTTGGAGTACAATTAGGTGAAAGTATAATGAATTTGTCTTTAAACACCTGAAGTTTCAGGTGTTGGGGAAACTCCCAACTGGGATACTTACTTTCATACTAGAAATCCTGCAGAAAAGTAGCCTTTACATTTACTTAAAAAGATATTCAATCTACTATATTATAAATATATTCATATATAAAATGTTGACTTAATTTTCACTATAAGATAATAACTCATGTATTAGAGAGCTAAAGGATGATCAAAATCTCTATTAAGGAGAACCTCCTCAAATGGGGACTATAGGAATGATTCAATGAGAGAGAAAAGTAAGGTCATTAAAAAACTTAAAAAAAGAAAAGGTGCTCCACCAGAGCATAAAAAGCCCTAGAGAAGCCTGGGAAGGTCAACAGGTGCAACGGCCACATCTCTAAAGATTTCTGTACTTTATTACATGCCTTATCCAATTGATAATTAAATCAATTATTGTATTGTATTATAACTGTTTATTTGTGTAAGACCTCGCCAAACTTCCTTGACATTTTTTTCTTATTTATATCTTCATTGTCTAATATCCACATAGATTAGTATTCACTGACTCAGTATGCTATATTCTTTGTTGCAAGATGCTTGGAACACTTAATTGGAGATGAAAATTTTTTAATTTCTTAAAAGAAAAATATCATTAAATGTATTAGTGAAAATTCAACCCACTGGCTTACAGATAAAACAGTAGAAGTGAAAGAAGAGACAATGAATACAGGTATTTGAATAAAACATGGACTACAATATTCTCAGGGGCTGACATTTGCTAGGACAAAGTGAGAAAAATCTATTTAACCGGTAAAGCAGTGAACCTTTATAATAAAAACAAAAGTTCCTTGTAACAAAAAAAGCAAGTAGTAGGGTGTCTGAAACTCACTAGTATAGAGATCTTTACAAAAAGGTTCAATTAGTAGACAGATACAGGGTTAGAAATGGAGATTCTATAGGAAGTATCTGGGAGCCTTCAAGGGCTTTAAGAGTTCACAGGCATTTTATGACACCAATTTTATTTCAGAAGCAATCAATTATATTATTCAAAAGCATAAAGAAGTGGTTTTTTAGTTAGTTCTTAATAAAAATAGAAAAATAAAGGAAGAAGTTAGAAGAGGGTGAACCAAAAGATTGGAGATACTGCCCAACATAAAATGATCTGAATTGGTTACCACACTTAAAAAAGGAAAAACAATGTATATAAACTCCCAACAAAGGTATAGAAGAAGGTGCTAGGAGAATCAGTGGTGTGATTCTCTGATGAACCACTAGGTGGTGGCACTGGCCCAGGACGGTTCAGTTGTGGGGGTTGGAAATCAGGTGTGTGGAGTAAGCAATTGCTTGGCCATTTCATTTGTAGGCATGGAACTGTTAGAAGGGTATTCAACTTGATTATGTTAATAAAAACTTTGAAAGAAAACATTTTGAAACGGGAAAATTCATCAACAAATTATCAAAGGTTTACATTAATAATTGTAAAAAATACAACTGTACTTGTCCACTCACCTTTACTACATTGTCCCCTGACTGTCCGTTATTTCGTAAACAATCCAGACATATAGCAATTTGTGGGTCACTTCTGTGATAATCTTTATCATCTTGATTTTCATCACCTTCTTCATCTACTTTAGGTTTTTCAATTTTTGAAGTATCATCTGTACAATTTAAACAAAACTCAGATATAACTCAAAGTTGATATTGAAGTTAAGCAACAATATTTAATCATCAAAACAAAAGTCAACTTTGAAGAATAACTGAAACTTTCAATACTTTTCATTGTTGAGTTAGTTGGACCATTTAAAAATATTTTTAAAAAACCATCACTGACTTATTAATATAGCCTTAGATGTCTAGGCTCACTGGGGCATGCAAATGAAAGATTCAGGACTAGCTACATTTTGTCACAAAAATAATTGCAATTGGTGATTAGATCACTTAGAAAAGAGTACTCAGTTTTAAATTAGAATATATAGAGAATTTGGAAGTATTTTTATATCCTACTTTCTAAGTTCTCAAAATTTCAAATTATTAGATATTCATAAAATTAGTTAAATATAATGAATAAAATGAATTCAATGAATTCTTTTTAAACATGTTTACAGCTTATAAAATATGTTAAAACTCCATTAAGGAAATCTGAATATACTTCATATTATATCCAAATGTATTTAACCTATGAAATACTTGCAGCCTACATATAGTTTACTGAGTGCCTTTAACTCTCTGTTAGATATGCATTGTGCTAGGTTTGAGAGAACAGTATCGAAACTAGAATTATCATCTGCATCCTCACAGTGGTCAGGGTATAGGAGGAGAAACCGACAGGTAGAGAAAGCAGAGAAGTTGGATGGAAGAGAGAAAATAGACTACGCAGCCACATAAAGAAAGATAATAAACCTATACTGTGGGGTGAAATAGAGATTTAGGGAAAATTTCCAGTGGAAAGAATTAGCCAGCCAAGCATTACAGTATGGAAAAGCCCAGGAAAAAAAAGACAGGTTAGCTCCTCTGTAATGACTATAGTATAAGCATTATGTTTGTATCATAAAAAGCAAGTGGGTTCTCTTCTGCATTCTTCTACATATTTATATGGAACCCACTTAGACAGTATCACCTTTTAAGAACCCAACTCCCAGCTCCAAGAAAAAATCCAAAATCTCCATCTAAACCAGTAGTTCTCAACCTTCTGGCCCTTTAAATACAGTTCCTCATGTTGTGACCAAACCATAAAATTATTTTCGTTGCTACTTCATAACTGTAATGTTGCTACTGTTATGAATCGTAATATAAATATCTGATATGCAGGATGGTCTTAGGCGACCCCTGTGAAAAGGTCGTTCGACCACCAAAGGGGTCGTGACCCACAGGTTGAGAACCACTGATCTAGAGAGGGAGAAAAACACAAAATAGGCTGTAGTCCTTCACAAGTCAACCTATAAGATACATAGAGCCCTGAACTAAACAGATAGCTTCTGAAGATGATCCCCTGGAACCACTCCTCTTGAAAAGGTAGTCAAACATTTAGTCAACTTTATATCACCTATGTTTTTACTATAGCACTACTATCTAAATTGTACTTTACACTTGGGTAAAACAAGCCTTTAGTTAAGTCATTTTCAGGCCTGGCTTCTTGCCTATTTTGTTGTTATAGAGCAGAAATAATCCCTTGCTATCTTCTCTGTCATTCAAAACTAGAATGCTCAAACCTCCCCTACTACAGGAAGTTACACTAAAGAAACTATGATCCCCATTTTATAGATGAAAAGAGAAAGAGAATTTTCTCACCCATCTTAATTATTACGTGTAATTGACAATCCTGTGATCTTATGGAAAAGCCAGAGATGGGAAATTGAGCTCACAATGAGCCTATAAAAACACATGTACGTATTTAAAGATTTCAGTGGTACTTAGGTCATCTTGAAATCAGTCTTATATTAAATAATCCTGAAAGGATACTTTCTTATAATTTCAGGCATGTTGTACTTTTTCTTTTCTTTGTGTGAATTATATACTTACCAAAAGCCTTTTCTCTGCTCAGTAATGTTTATTATTTTGCTAAAATTATTAAAAATTTACTGATTGCTGAGTCTCCAGGCACCCAGAAGAGAAATTTGGACACTTAGCACTGGTGATGGGGAAAACTCGCAAAAGCAGCTAGAAACATTTTTCAGTTCCAGATATATAAAAATTTGTATCACCTGAGCTCCACCTATGAAAACTTCATTCCAAGATCCCCTTGCTATGCTGTCAGCCACATCTCAGTTCCCTCTCCTATTCAAATGTACAAACTAAAAGAAAATCCCTCACTGTTTAGTTGCAGGCTATAGCTCTTTCTTTTCTTCAGTTTGCATTATTTGCTGGAGAGCTAAAGGAATCAGTAGTCGGTTTTCTGTCTTACCTCCTTTTTTTCTTCCCAAAGTTCAATTTCCAATTACCTTTAACTGGAGTGATCTCATGATTTTACATGAAAGGTTCATAATATAAGTAAAAGAGTACATGAATTCTGCACAGGAGACACTTGAACTTGGAGAGATTAGTTGACCAAAGCTATAGAAAGCTAATTTGTGAGAAGCTATCAGATACAATTGTAAGAAAAAGTCACCTTGTCCATTTTCTTGAGGCTTATTTTTCTTCCAAAACTCAGATTCACGCTCAAGTTCTTCTAATTTAAAAGAAAAAAGAAGTATAAAAATAATAGAAACAGTCATGAAATGTGTAATAGAAATATTGATTTCATAAAACACAGAATTCTGCAAGAAGCCAAAGAGTAACTTACGTTCTCGTAGTCCAGGGACCAGTTTAAATATGATTTCCTCTAATGTATTATCCAACCTTCCAAAGGGGAAAAGAGAATAAAGGAACAATGAAGATATCAAAATCCAATCCAATATCTTATATGTATTGCAAATGTAGAGCATGCAGTTTCAGCACATTTACTACACCAAACTCCTCTGCACGCGGAGCACACCTATTTCTAGCCTTTCCCATGTGGTAGGTTGATAACAAAAACAGTCCTAGTCCCCGGCTCTCTCTACATCCACACGAGTGGTTCCCAACCTTTTTTGGCCACGCTCCCCCTGTGACATATAATTCTTAGAGTTCAAAAGTGAACTCCTGTTCACGTGGAGGAAGCCTAAAAGGCCACTAACTTGGTCTAAACAAGCTTCCAAAGGACATGGAATCCATGAAAGAGAAAAATAAAAGAATGACAGGACAGCTGAAATACTGAGGAAGAAATCACTAAGAAATTGTTAAAAAAAATAACATGAAGTGATATGAAATGCATAAATATGTCACAATATTTATATACTGTATATAAGGCCCCTAGAACCTAAGAAATGCAAAAAATCCACTGTTAGTACCTCATTCTCGAATTGTCCCCTTTGTGGGGCGTGTGCCCCATGTGAGAACCACTGATCTACATCCACTGAACATGACTGAGACTCCATCCCTTAATCAAGGGAGGAATTCTAACTCCCCACCCCAAGAATATGGGCAGGCCTTGAAATATGCGAGAAATATGACATTGTGCTTAGTCCTGAGCCCAAGCCTAAAGAGGCACTACATGCTTTTTTATGCCCCTCTCTCTCAGAATCCTGCCAACCATGAGAACAAGTCTGGAGGGTGAGGCACCATGTATAAGAGAACCCTGCTAAGGCCATTTCAGACTAGGTCACTGAGCCCGTCCCCAATCTGAGAGGCTGCTCTGCTGATCCGAGCTGGTTCTACCTATCCAGTCAACTGCAGCACCATGAGCGAGCCCAGCCAAGACCAGAAGAACCACCTAGATCTGTGAACTGCAGAACTGTGAGGAATAAGGAATGCCTTTTTTTTTTTTTTTAAGGGTGGTTGGTTTTGCAGCAATAGTTGATATATTCACTCTCAAAATCTCTATTACAACTCTGGCTCTTTCCTATAAAGGAAATAATCTCAATTTTTCTCTCCTGAGAAATTTAGACCATTTTGTCGTTCTATCTCAGTGATGGCGAACCTATGACACGCGAACTCATTTTTTTGGTTGATTTTTCTTTGTTAAATGGCATTTAAATATATAAAATAAATATCAAAAATATAAATCTTTGTTTTACTATGGTTGCAAATATCAAAAAATTTCTATATGTGACACGGCACCAGAGTTAAGGTTTTTCAAAATGCTGACACGCCGAGCTCAAAAGGTTCGCCATCACTGTTCTATCTTCCTAGATAAAAAAAAAAAAAAGTAAATATTTATCTTGACATTTTAGTTTTTTCCTGATGAGAGTGTAACCCTTCCTTTTCATTTCTTTACTCTCATTCTCTTGCTCCCAGAACATCCTTTTCTCTCTTCATACCTTCATCCTGCTCAGCAGCATTTCAGCAGCATTACTCTTCTCTAACTACAAACATTTATACTTTCCTTGCATCTTAAAAAATCCAACCTTTATAGCAAGCTGTTAGCTGTTTTTCAATTGGAAAAACTTTGAAAGCAAAATCGACATTATTTGTCACATATAATGTTTCCCCAAATTATCCATAACTGCCAATTAAATAGGTTTAAAAATTATTTTAGAATTAGTTTAATATGTTTAAATTATTTTTTAAAGTCATTTTTCTCCTGTATTGCTCTGCAGCAGTTTGATAGGGTTGTCTAAAACTGCTCCTTTCAGGAAAGAACAATTGGGTTTTCTTTTTTTCTGTCTACTCTTTCTTGGTCCCTAAGTATTTTTCTTTTCCAATGCTCTGCTCTCTTGACCTTTTCAGTAGGCTTTTGTGACCTCATATAAGCTAAAAGCTTTTACATATATTCACACACACACATACAAACTACATCTCTGCTGAGCTTAAGTGCCACACTTCCAACAGATGCTTAATATCTCAAGCACCTCCTTTTGTTCATCTATGTCAACACTGTCTTATCCATCCTCCAACAAAACATTGAATATCACTGTCATACTTTTTAAAAATTAAATTTAGAAATGAGACCAAAGGCTCAAAATGCAAGAATTATCTTAATACATGCACATACCTCTCCCCACCCCTTGATTCACACATTTAAGTCACTATGCTTCACCAACAGTTCCTTCTCGATATTTCCCCCATATAGTCTTTTCATGCTTCCCACCCTTCTACTTCCTTAATTACCACAGTATTTAGAGGACAGTATACACCTATTTTCCTTTAACTTGACATGCTCATAATCAAATTAATGCTTAAGGAAGATTCACCATTTGCTTTGCTCAAGAACCAATTTCTTCCCACCACCTGGCTTCAAGTGTTTTTATAACTTGAGTCTAACCTACAAACCATAACTGGTGTTATTCTCTTATTTCTCTTCCCTAGCCAACAGGCCTATTCAGTTTCCCATAAGAATGCCTTGTCTTTTTGCAATCTTTTTCCCTCATGTTCTTTATCCTGGTTCAATTATTCTTTTCCAACTCTCCAACCAAACCAATGTTACCTTATTCTTCAAGACTTAACTCAAATACTAATTTGTTCACAAAGTTCCCCTGACCATTTAATGGTAATATTTAAAAAGTAGCATTTCTCTTCTTAATTTAGTATTTTTCACCAAAGTTATATATATGTGCAATTTCTCATCCTGACTCCTACAACCCCAGAGGCACCAGTTTCAAATCCAACCAGTTTCTTCTAATATTTACTATTAGCAAGTCAGAGGTAGGGCCTGAGAACTGCCATTTCTAACAAGAGACTCATAGTTTGGGGACCATGCTTTGAAAACCACTGGGCTAGACATTTATCTGTAGATAAATTACTCCAACTACAGTCACTAAAATAGAAAAAACAAGTCTAAAATCTAAGACTTGCAAATCCAGATTCAATGAAATGATGGCAAACATCACACAGAAATGAACATTACAAAAGGCTACCAATATCTAGTACTGTTTTTAGATGTGTACTTCCCTAAGATCCCACAGTTAATCTGTGATAGAGCTATGGTAAAAACAGTGGGGAAAAAATAAGTTCAGTGGTAAGGACACCTGGCTTGAAGCTGGGAAATGGCATTTGAGTTTGCTGAGACCTTAGGCAAAGTCATGGTAAATTTCAATTTTCTAAACTGGAAAAAAGGGTTTGGATTAGGATCTTACAAACCACTTCCAGCTTTAAAAATATATGATTATACTTAAGTAAATGGCAGTCATTTTTAAAATTCTGAGTTTTAAAAAATTTAATAGTACCAAGATTAGTCTACCTCACTATTAGGTCTGCTCTCTTTCTACTGCCATGTAGTTCAACAAAAGTGGTGTGTTGTGTAGAATATTAAAATACTGAAGCAGAACTACAACTAAAGTAACTCTGAGAGCCTGAAATAAAGTTATAATTTTAATTTGGAAATGTATTTCTTAAATATTTAATAGGTAGTCGTATTTTTCTATTTCTTCTTAAAATCTGTATTAATTGAACCAAGGTGCCAACAAATATTACAATGCATAATAAAAATTATTAGCGTTTACGTATTTACTTACCTCAACATTTCTAATGGATTTGTCTCATGAACCTGGTTGCCACACCTGGGACAATCATTGCTATCTTCAAAGTGCTGAACAATACAAGTCTTACAGACTAAGAAGAAAGAAGGTGTTAAGTTAAAATACATCATTTAAACTGAATGTAATTAGAAATAGTCCTTAAAAATTACCTACTATACGTAGAGTACTATTCTTTAATCAAACTTTATAAAACCTTAAAATTGTAACACTGGAAAAAACCCACCTGAAATAAAGCCTGCTGTCACAATATAAAAAGTATATACCATTTTGTTGTTTTTCTTAAAGAAGTAGGACCAAAATGAGGTTTTTACCTTAACTGAATTTACTTCTTTTGCTAGAAAGATATTTGAATGCAAAATAAATATTTCTTAAAAGAAGTTGTGAGTTTTCAACATGTTTGGATTGCTTTTCATTAGCAGGGTGCTCCTGGAACAAAGCAGGAATTACAAGGGAACTTCTGGTCTTTGCGGAGCATGAGGGCCAGCACTCACAGATCCCATGATTCCATGGAGCACAACAAGCATGGCAGTGGCATCAAGTTGGCACAAAGGCACGAGAGGCAAAGTGAAAAAATGACTGCAAAACTGACAGGGAAAATTAAGATTTTTAAATAAAGATTCTAAACTAAGATAACAGAAATATGACTTGTGGATTTTTTTTTTTTTTTACCACAAACCTATATATTGCCTACATTTCCTCCAAATAATACTAATCTCTCTCACCTTTCCCTAAGCTTCTATTACCTACTATGCCAACTATCTTGCCCAAAAACCTTAGACAAACTATTAAAAATTTTCACTCTCTTCCCTATCCTAATACTGCCACCTCCATTTCACTACCCTTTATAATCTGAAAATACAGATAGGCTCCCCCAACCCCTACTTTACAACTCCATTACAAAAGATTCCTTTTTCCACCGCTGATGTCCCACACTGTTTAAAAGAAGTAAAAGTTTAAATGACTGAGCAAGAGTAAACTAAAGGATTCCTACCACTGAGATTAGGTCTGAAAAGTTCAAGCAAATTACATATACTATTAGAGCAACAATGGTCAGGGAAGAATTCTACTGGGTATCTAACTTTAAAATCATTAATACATATAGAGAATATCTTGGCACTTCTTTTCATTGATTCAAGGAACGTTTATGGAGGGCCAGACATTGGACTAGGAGCTGGGGTGCAGGAGTAAACAAAATTCATACCCTTATGGAGCTTATATTCTATTTGAGAAGACAAACAATTTAGTAATAAGTGAGACTAAAAACAAACCAAAAAAAGGCTAAAAGAACTGGGGGCTATTTCAGACAGAGTGATCAAGGCAGGACTTTCTACGAAGGTGACATCTGAGCATATTTTTTTGTTAAATATCCTTGAATCCCATATTACCTACCTCTGTATACCATTACATACAGCTATTAGGGAACACTCTTCAGTACAGTTCTCTCAAAATGTGGATAAAACGCAGTATTAGAAAAAAACATTAAAAATAAAAACACTTAGATACGAATATAGCCTCTGTCCTCTAAATCTCTTGGTCCCAGTCCAGCTGGCGTGGCTCAGTGGTTGAACGTGGGCCTATGAACCAGGAGGTCAGGGTTCGAGTCCCTGTCAGGGCACATGCCTAGGTTGCAGGCTCAATTCCCAATAGGGGGCATGCAGGAGGTAACCGATCAATGATTCTCTCTAATCATTGATGTTTCTATCTCTCTCTCCCTCTCTCTTCCTCTCTGAAATATATAAAAAATATTTTTAAAAAACCCACAAATCTCTTGGTCCCAAAAAGTTTCTAAAAATCGTTTAAAAAGTCAAAATAACGTTTGGGAAAGGACGACTGCTTGTTAAGCCACACTGTAGTGGAGGATTGAGAAGCAGAATTCCTAGAAGATTCCTGGTATTTGCTCTTTTCCCAGGGACAATAGACAAAATTTGGGGAAGAAGGAAAAAAAAAAAAAGACATTAGAGCAAGAATGAAGGGGTATTACAAAGTCCAATTCCCTGGTGATTCCAAAGGTTTAACATACTCAAGGATTCAGGAATTCCGGTTGTCTATCAGCCTTCACCAAATAGAGAGGCACGTGATACGCCCAGAGCAAGCCCTACGCTGAGTCAGCCAAAGGCTGAGCGTAGGAGCCTGTCCTCCCAAGGACAAAATACTAACCTAGGTTGAAGAAAGAAATGAAAGCTCATCCATCCAGAGGTACACAGCTTCAAGAATAAGGCTGTGTTAATTGTTTAAGGCCAAGACAACACCAGTGCCCAAGGCTGCTGATGGGAAATACTAATCTATATTCCAGAACTGGACTGTCCAATATGGTAGCACTAGCCATGTGTAGCTACTGAGCACATGATATGTTGCTAGTTCAACTTGAGATGTGCTCTACATGTAAAATACAGCACATCTCAAAGCCTTAGCATGAAAAAAATCTCAATGATTTTTATATTAATTACATGCTGAAATATTTTAGACACATTGGATTAAATAAAATATTAAAATTATTCCTTTTTAAAACGTGGCTACTAGAACAATTTAAATTACACAGGTAGCTCACTTTTATTTCTACTGAACAATGCTGTTCTAGAGGGAGATAAAAAGCCCCATCTGAAGGTGAATTTATATTTCACATCAACGTTTAGGTAACTGTATGTTATTCTAATTTTGCAGATGCAGAAGAGTTTCCTAAAGGCAAATAACCTGTCTACTCTGATGAATGACACAGAGACTTGAACCCAGGTTTTCTGATATGAAATCACACATTTTATATCAAATTTTAAAGATTTTAACTTTACAAAGGGAAAAAAATGTTATATAGCTATATCATCTCTCCCAAGTTATAGGCTCGATCTCCATCTCCCTCTCTCTCTAAAAATCAATAAAAAGCTTTAAAAAAAGTAAAAAACAACAACTGGTAGTAAATACATCTCCCACATGATTTTAAAAGTTGTTAATAAAGCCCAACCTTATACAAAGTAGAACCTGAGAAAATCCAAGGCAGAAGTTCAGTAAAGATTTGCTTTCCCTAAGATGTTTACAAAATCATTACTACAAATCTACCCTTTGATTCTTAGTCTTTAATTTGGTTTATACCAGCTATAAAACATTTTTAAAATATCTTAAAGATTTAATGCCAAGCTCTTTAATTGCTCAACTACTATACATACTGGTTAACTCAACAGGTGCAAGATAAAAAGGTCTAGGTCTGGGTTAAGACTCTATGGAGACTAATTACAATCTTCATTCTCATCAGCCACCTACAGAAAGATGCTGTGGCCACAAGAAACACCTGGGTCAGAACGGGAGTTAGGCTCACCAATGATATTATTCCCAGTTGAAAAACCACTTAAATGGCAACAAGTGCTAACATTACCCGAGCACTAACCTAGTATCAGGCTCTGGGCTCAGGGCTTTGTATAGATTAAAGTATGGACTGTTACCATCCTCCTTTGGCAAATGAGAAACAGTACTGGAGAGCCTGAGTAGGCTGCCATGGCTGCTCACAGCTGCCTAGCTGTGTAGCAGAGATGGCATCCACTCCCCGGCTGTGCATCTGCAGGCCTAAAGTCCAATTACTATGCTAAGCATCATAAAGCCAATAACACTTGATCCCTGGCATCAAGATTTGTTATTATTTTTTTAAAATATATTTTATTGATTTTTTACAGAGAGGAAGGGAGAGAGATAGAGAGTTAAAACATCGATGAGAGAGAAACATCAATCAGCTGCCTCCTGCACATCCCCCACTGGGGAAGTGCCTGCAACCCAGGTACATGCCCTTGACTGGAATCGAACCTGGGACCCTTCAGTCTGCAGGCCGACGCTCTATCCGCTGAGCCAAACCAGCTTTGGCAAGATTTGTTATTTTTAACTGATCTTTATATTTAGCCCATCACAAACATCATAAAACTTCTGCCTAAAGCTTACAAACTGAAATCCTTCCTTTTACCATTTCTTAGATTTGAACTAGGCTGTTGTACAAATTAATAGAGTCATGTGTCATCTAAAACGGTGGTTCCCAAACTGAGATGGGCACCACAATCACCAATAAGATTTTTAAAAGAACAGATTAATGGGCCCCATCCCAAAACAATTAAATCAGAATCTCCAGGAGATCAACAACAGGACTCTTAACTTTGAAAAGCTCTCCACCAAGACAGTCAAAGATAACTGGGAAATCCTGGCCAAAGGAGGCCATAAGCTGGCCACAAAATCCTTACCAGTGAGTACCTCTGATAGATGAACCCATTCCAGGATTTGGCCCTCTGCCAAATCATAATCAGCAGTCACTTTACTATTCACTATCAGGAAATCAGTCATGGGACAAAACATAATCGAAAAAATATGGGATGAAGATACTATCTCCCTGTAATGCAGAGGCCAAGGTAGGACAGCATAATGCTCTAGACCAGTGGTTCTCAACCTTCCTAATGCTGCAACCCTTTAATACAGTTCCCCATGTTGTGGTGACCCCCAACCATAAAATTATTTTTGTTGCTACTTCATAACTGTAATTTTGCTACTGTTATGAATCATAATATAAATATCTGATATGCAGGATGTATTTTCATTGTTGCAAATTGAACATAAGTAAAGCATAGTGATTAATCACAAAAACAATATGTAATTATATATGTGTTTTCCGATGGTCTTAGGCGACCCCTGTGAAAGGGTCGTTCGACCCCCAAAGGGGTCGCGACCTCGATTGAGAACTGCTGCTCTAGACAAAAGACAATCTGGAGGCAGACTGGATCTGAAACTCAGTCCTACCACCAGGCACATTACTTACTCTATGCTTCTATGTACGAAGCAGATAACAAGAATATCTATCTCACAAGGTTCTTGTAAGAATTAAATCAGATAATATATGTAAACTGTGTAAATAAGTATATCGTAATGTACTTATATTCAATGAATATTTGAGCTGTAACTATAAATTAGATCACCAGATGAGCATAAAATCATAACAAGGAGCATCAGTAATCGAATATTGAATGGCAACAGACTATGATTAGTTTGATGTGTCCATCTGAAATAACAGACGATCTTGCTAAAGGGACTTTAAATGTCTATTATGTATTG